CCCCCCCCAGCCGTGCCCCTGGTTTATCTGCTGGTGGGCAACCCGGGGACCAGTTTTGGCCAGTAGCATCTGTCCCTTGAGGGGCAGCTTTGTGGATATAAAAAGTCCCTGGGCAGAGAAGCCCATGCCGATGGGGAAGAGCTGCGTTTCTCCGTGCACCCCCATTCCCATCATCCTCACTCCTTCCTCATCCGCCAGTGCGGCCGGGTGAAAGCCCTCGCCGCGGGGGGGGGAGCTGGGCTTCACGTACTGAACTCTAAAGCAATTGATTTTTTCTAGTTCTCCTATTTATTGACCTCCTTTAGAAGGGCTATCTTTTTATTGCTGTGCAAACTTTGGTGTTTCTTTGGAGTCTTCTTTCAGTCTGGGTTGGGTGGTTGGTGGTTTTATTTCCGCCCTTAAAGCTCCAGGTCCGTGCTTTGGGGACGGGGAGTGTTGTGATGTGGGAACCTGTGGTCTGTAAATACTGTGTCTTGGGTTTGTGTAGCTTGTGGCTGAGGCTGGGGAGCTGCTGGGGGGACAGCAGGATGGGGAAGGGCTGCTCCCTGCTCCCTGCAGCACGGCCGGGTGCAGAGGGGCTCATCGGCACCCCAGCACCACCCGGTAGCACATCCTTCCCTGGGTGAGAGGTGTAACCCACCCTATTTTCCTGGCTACACACCTCATCTGGAAAAGATTTAATATTTGTTACCAAAAAATGTTTGGATTTTCTTTTTTTTTAAAGGAGTTGCTCAATGAATAAACAACCCTTGTCCACCCTTCCTGTTTGTCTGTTCCATCCAAACACACTCGGGAAGTGCAAGTGGGAGTAGCGCCTGCCAGAGAGAAAAATGCTGATGGGGGGAGATTTCCTAATGCTCCCGGCAGCGTGCTTGGCTCAAAGCTTTGCTCTGCCTCCAGCCACGGCCAGGACATTTCAAGTGAAGCCCTAAAACCACTGGGGAGGGGAGAAGGGTGGAGCGAATTCCACAGTCCATCAAACAACCCCGAGTGAAACAGGATGCCAGCACCCCACTGTCACCCCTCACCTCCAGTCGCCCGCGGCTCCGGGGATGTGCCAGGGCACTGGTGGCTCCAAATCCCCGGGTGAAGGAGTTTCAAGCCGCTTCATCTCCTAGCCCTTCCAGAATTGTGCCAGTTCGGTTATCCATGCCATGACTGTCTGGTGGAGCGCTGGCCTCAAGGTGAGACAGCCGTGCCAGCCGCGACGGTGCTCCCTCCAGGGACGGGGACAGCTCTTGGGGAGCCGTGCCACAGCCGGCTGTGCCATGGCAAGGACAGTAAAGCAGCAGCCCGGCTGCAGTGGCTCTTCCCTGGAGGGGAAGGCAATGCTGACTCAGGCTGCTCTCTCCGGCTCAGCGTGAGCACCCGTCCCGGCTCCCCAAGCCGTTCCCATGCTCCACGTCCACGCTGGGATGAACGCAGTGGCACACACGCCTTCCCCTTCCTCCCAGCCGCCACGGTAAGGAAGAGGCAGATCTCTCCAGGAAAGTGTCACCGAGAAGCTCATCCCAAGTCCTTCCGGGCACTGACAGAGGGGAGGAGAAAGGGTGACCCGGGCAACTGCTGGAGTCCTTCAGCCGCTGGCATGGTGGTCACGGTTTGGGACCTGCACCAAGCTCCAGCCCAGCACACAACCCACCTTGGGGCTGTGGGCACATTGGAAGCTGTGAGCCGGGGGTTATTAATGACAGACTCCCCGCCATCCCAGCTCCTAACATAAAGATTATATAGCACATGGGGAGAGTCTGCTCCAAAGGAGTCTTTAAATACAGCTAAGCCTGCCTGGGCCATCTGGGCTCCCCTGCAGCACTGCCTTCTGCAGCATCTCACTCACCAGCCCAGCTTCAAACATCTGCTTTAAATGTAGCGCTGGATCGGTAAATAACGGGCTACCTGCTGGAGGGGGTTCTGGTCTCCTCAGGAGATAATGTCAAGAGCAGCAATCAGCAGTAGAGAGCAACGCTCCATCCAAGGCAGATCTCATTAAGTTAATGTCTATTGGAGAGAAGTAAATGATGTGACATCTCCTCCTGCAGCCCCGGACGAGTTTTCAGGGATGACAGAACACGGGGGGTAAGGCTTTATTCAGCACAGTAAGGAACGGACATGCAAATAAGGTAGGGTTGTGTAACCGAGGTACATGCTTCCCGATCCCAAACGCCACGTGGCCAGAATCCAAAACTCTGGCCTAAAACTCTGGGATCACTTAAAGGCAAAGCCTGTCCCAGCAAAGACGCTCATCGATTCCCTTCCTGCTTTACTCTACCCATCACAATGGCTTTCCCTGGGAACGGGGGCCAAGGAAGAGGTGTCACTGACCAGCAGAGCTGGGCCAGGAAAGGCAGAGGGAGATGGGGAGGCAAGAGCCTCGGTCCAGAGCGCTGGAACCTTCTGCATCACTCACGCCTGAGCACTCTCTTGCAAGGGGCCACCTCAGTTTATAGTGAGGACGTCACTCTGAATCTCATGGCTCAGCTGGGTCTGGAGGTCGCTCAGTTTCTTCTTCAGGCCAGACAGCGCAGAGAGAACGATGGTCTCCGGGCGCAGAGAACCACAGGACTCGACATTGTAATAAAACCTGAGGTTACAAGTCAGGGGGATAAGTCACCATCTGCTCCGCGAGGAGGTACAAAACCAGAGAGCGCCTGCAGAGCAGTTCCAGCCCGTCCTGACCCACCACAGGGAAATCTGCTGGGAATCCCAACTATCAGCATCATTCACCTCCCAACCGGGCAACAGCCAGCGCCGCCCCTCTACAACCGTCACACCAACACTCATGACTCCACAGGCTGCAAGAGCACTTTTGAGATTTCCCTCCATTCAGCACTGTGACCTGCGAGCAAGCACAGAGCCCTGTGCCAGGGAGTTAAGACTGGCTGCAGGCACTTCTGTAGTGCAAATAACCCGGGAGAGGGGGTACCACCAGCAATCAGAGCATGAGAGACCCACACGGGTGAATAAATATCCTAAGCCATTTTCCCCCGCAGGCCTCACACTTCACCGAGTGCTGCACTGCCCTACTTGATAACACGAACTCAGCAGAGCCGTCTAGTATCTCCCAGAGGGGAAAACCTGCCAGGCCTGGCAGGTTCATCACCAGTGAACTCCAACTTCTGCCCTGCTTTTCAGGGAACACCAGCTTCCTGGGCTGGCAAACTTCGGCACAGAGTAGATACTCTTGTATTTGCGAAAGCCGACGAGATGCACCCAGCCGGTCCCCCCATTTTCCAGCTGCGGCAGCGCATTCAGCTTCCTACCTCTCTGGCTTCCCGTTGGGGTCATAGGGAGCCTGAGCGTCCTCCTCGTCAATCTCCGAGTACTCACTCTTGGGCCTGCAATCAAAGAGCAGGAAAGGTTAGCACGGAGCCCACGCTCTAGCCTGGCCCCTCGGCGCCCAGGCACCCTGCGGCACTGTTTGGCCCCGGAGAGCGAGCACCGGGGATCACGTCCAGCAGGCAAAGGAGCAGTCATCAAACACCAAGTCACAGAAAAAAGCTCGGTCCCACGTTGCCCTTTCTAGCTTATTAATGCCACAGAATCACCCAGCAGTGCTGGAGGAAGAGGATCAGCCCCGCTCTGCCCGAGCTCAGCAAGCCCTGTGCGGGGTACTGTGGCTCCATCCACCCGCACAATCTGGCAGGTGCTTATAGCGAAGGGATGCCGATGCCTGAAGGGACTGTGTTTATGGAGCCCGGACGCTGTTCATGGAGCAATGGACCTCGTGTTATCTTCTCTTTCTACTATTTCACTGGGCCAGGAAAACACCAGAGCACTCCAGCACTCAGCCTGTGCAGCACAGCTGGGATGGGAAGGCCCGACTGGCTTGTGCCCAGCAGGAAACAATCTCCTGTACTTCAGACACCAGCTGCATCAGTGAGCCCCGTCCTGATGTCCTGCACCTCCACTCCTCTACACGCATCACTACCAAAATCACTGCAATACCCCTGCATCAGCCAGGCCAACACATCTTTCTACCCGTTGCATCCCTTGGCTTATAGGGCATCATACCAGAGAGACTGGAAGCACTTAATCCATGCAAGAAAACCCAAAGCCTTGAACTGTCTGAGAAGCCAGCACAGAAAATCCCATGCCCACCAAGGTCTCCTGCTGGCCTTCCTCTGCCCCAGCGATGTCGAGAAAGGCTGATCCTAGCACCCTATCATCAGCTGCCTGAAAAAAACCTGCACTTCCCAAACAAATCCTCTGTCTGCAACAAACCACTGAGAGACATAAAGCGTTAATGGAGCTGGGTCTTCACGTTACTTGCAAAATCACCCATGTCCAAAAACAGGGGAGAGGTTTCCACCACCATGACAGCTGCTTTGAGAGTCCAGCTGCATGCCAGTGCTCTGCCAACAGCCTCAAAAGAGCAACTAGCATGTAAAACCAAACCGAAAATAACAGCTAGCCTTGGATAGCAGAGGCCTTTGTCTCTGTATTGTCTTCACGGGGAAATCAGATGAACTTGGAAAGACAGACGTATCATCAGGGAACAGGCAGCTCCGATGGCAATCTTTCTTTGGGATTTTTCCAGCTTTTACATATATTTTGTCAGGAACTTCTCAAAAACTGTTTCCAGTTACCCAGCTGCTTGTATAACACGCCAGGTTCCTGAAGACACAGCCGACTGCCACCGAACAAAAGAATCCACATTAGCAGCTGCCTTGGGCCGCGCAGCCAGGGAAGCACCTCGCTGCTGAGGTACACGTGCTCCGCCACGCACCTGGGGCTGTTCTCTGCGACACCAACATCTCCAAAAGCCCTAACTCTCCTAAATTCACACTGTGACATTCCCCATCCAAAAAGAAGGCAAACCCAATGATACCTCGACCTGCCTGGCATCTGTCTGTCCAACTCAAAGCAGTATTCCAAGTCTGTCACTTCATCAGTGTCAAAGACTTACTCTCTAGCGTTACAGAAATTAAAGCAGAGAATTTTTACAGCACCAAAATGAAGCCTAAAATGATTTCAAATCCCGATTTGAAATTCCACATCACAGAGACATTCTTGCTTCTCAAGCATCCAATCTATCACTCAATCAGCTAAACTTCGGGGCAATTTACCTGCCACAAATCATTTGGAAACTTCAAAACTATCCAGTTCCACCCCCAAAACTGCTGGTGACAAAGGACAGGCCGGCACATCAATTCTTGAACATGCTCCTGACCACAAAACTGCCGAGCAGCATCCTCCTCGGCTCTGCACCACCTCACCACAACCAGCCTCTCATGGACTTTGCCCCCACCCCGACAGCCTGGTCTGTAGCTGGCAGTTCCCAAAGTCCAGCTTCAGTCCACATGTACAGACCATCAACGCTAAGGAAAATGCCCATTTCCAGATTTCCAGCACTACCAGCCAGCCTGGTTCCTACTGCAGATCCCAGAGCACCGCCCTGACGAAGTGCTGAAGGAGCCGAACGCCTGGCACGTCCCGTTCTCACCCAGACTGACTGAACCAGACCCGCGAACGTGCCCTACAGAGCCCATCAAAGCCAAGCGGGGTTTGCTCCTTCCATCCGTAAAACAGGGCTGGGATGGCTGCGGGCAGATCCCAGCCCATTTCATGCATGTTATGGATTCACCTGCAACTCCACCCTTGGCGACAAAAGGCTTCTCAAGTGCAAACCTAGCCGCACAGGATCTCCGTGACAGCTCCCGAGTAGAAAGCCCCTGGCAGTCCGGCTGAGGGGTGAAATCTAGGCTAACTGCACCTCCGGGAAGCTCGCTTACCGATAGCTAACTTAGCAAGGGACAGCGTAAGGCCACGCTCTGCAATGGGTCCGAGCGTCCAGGCTCGAAGCGGATAGTGTGGAGGTACAACAGCCCACTACCTGCCTGCTACTGCTTGCAGCCATTTGCAGAGTCAAATTTGGCAGCGCCGGGCCTGGCGGCGACAGGAGGAAAACCCGCTGAGCCCCTTCTGTCGCTCAGCCTCCTCTCCAGCTGCAGCTCTGCTCGGGCTTTTGTTCCCGCTTGCTCAGTCCTGGCTTCTGCAGTCCCTGCACCAAACCCTGCTCCTGTACTGAGGTCTTCCCGACCTTGAGCGCAGCTCTGGCTGCTGCCCTGCTGTTACGGCAGCATATCCACCGCCCCCTCTAGCCCCTGCTCTCAGCCTGCCTTGGCTAAAGCACCTGGCTCCTCGCTCTGCCGCTGGCTCCAGCGTGCTCAATGACAGGATGTCTGCTAGGTGGTCACTGGGCTGCAGAGCCAGGAGCAGCTCAGGTATCTACTCATGGAAAACTGCTGCTAGGTAAAGTCCTTGCCCTGACCAAAGCAGGGCAGCAGCTTTCCAAAAGCGAAATCATGTCACTTTTAGATGAGACGCAGCATGCTACCGGTGCAGAATGACATGTCAGAGCAGAGGAAAGGGCCAGAGAGGAAAACTCCGCTGCCAGAGCTCACACTCCAGGAGTGAGGAGGCGTGTGGGTGAAATCAGGGCCACATACTGGGCATCCTCAAACAGACAGGGCTGCAAAATCAGCCTTGCAACCCAACCTTCCGCTCTTTGCTCTCATAGCGACCTCTTCCACCTCACGTGGATCTATTCCTTCTTCAGACCTTACCCCGAGCTACAGACCACTTGTGTAGGGAAGAAGAAACAGGAACACGTCGTGGGAAAGAACATGAAAGCAAGCAGGGTAAAACAGCAGTGACAGCACGTGAGGAAAGGACAAGAGGTGGCCACAGATCAGTCCACCTTGCATGCAGCTGCAAGTAAGCGACTGGCTTTGGTACCCTAACACAGGGGCAGAGTCTGTGCAAGGGGAAGCAACAGGCATGATCACTTATTGACCCAAATTATCCCCAAGGCTGAAATGTAGGTGCCTGCTGGAAAACCTTTTCCAGTCCCTCCAGACAGACATTAGGACATACCACTCCTCCGGTTTGGGGTACACGGTGTGCCTCAGCGCGTTGTCCGGGTCGTACTCGAAGGCTACGCCTGCCGTGGGGTTCCACTTGGCGTGCTCCTTGCCAAAGCCCTTCTTGGCATAGGCTCGCAGTCTCAGCTCCTGGCCCTTCCGCAGCTTCACAATGAGGATGTCTGCGGAAAAGCACATGCCCGTTTGAGAAGGGTGCAGAGGAGAAATGAGCGTGCAGATCACACGAGGGTGAAAGCAGGAATTTTTAGCGCCCAGGAAGATGTCACCAGAAGCCAGGGCTCGCTTGGATTCTTAGAGGGGCTCATCTGTGTCCCCAGAGCAGCTGGGAAACATCTTGCTGAGTAAAAAGGAGTTGCACATATGCCCAGAGGCACAGCTCAGGCCCCCAGGCAACAGCAGACAGCAAAGCATTTTGCATCTTTGCTGTCTCTAAGCTCTCACAAGGAGAGAGAGGAGCACCCTCTGACACAGGACTTAGTTCTGGGGATAACCTTTAAGTGGCATTAAGACAAAATGCTAACCCCACTGATGCAGTGATGCCGGTGTCTCTCAACTGCCAGCTTCACAGCTGCCTTACAGTTACACAGCTAGTAAAGGAAGAATGAGTTCAAAGAGCCTGAAAGAAAAATTCATTCCCTCCGCCAGCTCCTACTCCCAGTGAAATGCCGCTTACCGTCCTGCTCCACATAGTCGTTGGGGTCGTTGTCTCTGCTCCGAGATGTTACCTGCAGAAGGAGAACAAAAGCGAATTAATGGCAAGATCAACTTTTCTCCCCACATCCAATAGCAGTTGCCTACAAAAATTACAGACTGCAGAGAGCCACTCTACAGTGACTTACAGCAACAAATCCAGCCCACCCTATTTAACAGAAATCGGGACAATTCAGGCAGCTGCAGCTAGGTACGCGATATCCCACTCCACCGGCCTGCTCGCCTCCCGAGCCGCTCTCCCCCACAGCACAGCCCAGTCCAGTGCTGCTGCGTGGTTCTGCGATGCAGCCCACAGTCACTCCCACGACTGCTGGCAGGTGACACACAGCACTGACAGCACCTCAGCCGAAGCAAGCAAGAAACAGCAGGCTACAGCTAGGCTTTAACCAGGCAGACACTGTCACCAGCTACCAGAAGCAGCCCCCAGGTTGTGGCGACATCCGGATGCGGCCTCAATAGCATTTTAAAACATTCTCCATTAAGTCCCTTTGCATCTGTTCTGCTTTGGCTCTGCCAACCCTCCCCAAGGCGACTGGGCAAGAGCCGTTTGGCCCGGGCTCCTCACACCTTGCTGCGCTAGAGAGCCAAGAACCAGAAAACCAGAGGCCTCTGGGTTGCTGCCAAGCCTTCGAAGAGGCTGACCTTGCCCGAGCCCCGGCAGCAAGCGGGCAGGAGAACGCAGTGACACGGCAGCAGGACACAAGCGCACACGTGCCGAGCGTTCGAGGTGAGGTGGAGGGGCTACACTAAAGCCTCCCAAGAGTTTGAGATGAGGGATGCCGGATGAGGCTTTAACAAGGCCATACTGCTTTGACACGCCATCAGACAGCAAGTGAAGGACAACAAGCGAAGAAGAGGAGGGCATTGGCACACGCTGCTGTTTCTGCAGATACTCCTGCTTTGCTCTCCCACTGCGTTTTAAGTGGGGCTTTAGGCAACGTGAAAGGTGCTCGAAGGCCTTGTTTTGTCCACATCCCGTGTGTTTGCTACCCTGGCCTCAACAGGAACGTAGAGCGGGGACTCGCCAACAAGCAGAGGGATCGCACTGACCGGTATGACCCGGGGGTTGTTGGGGATGAGATCGCGGGATGTGACGTGACGAGTCTGGTCTTCATTGCACCGGACATCAAGGGTGAACTCCACAGAGCACTCCGGACAGAACTCATCGCACGTGCAGTCCTGCGACAGACACGGGTCAAGACCTTTACGCCAAACCTCTCCCAGCAAGAAATTAGTAGCACTTCCCACCAGATCAGACACCCACCACCATCAAAATAAGCACCCACGACATTTTGCTTGACTCACTCTGGAATATTGCATCTTATCCACAATGTCATCACTGGTGAGCGGGATGAGACCTGCGGGAAGAAGGAAATCGGGGGAATGTCTGAGTGAGACCACGGGAGCACCGACCCTCCTGCCGAGACGGGCAGAGGAACAGCAGCCTCCTGACAAGGGTGCTTCAGCGTCTCCAGACTGATTCTGCTCATGACCGCTGCCTTGCTGCATGTCTTCGTCTTCCTCCCCATGCCCGGCACTCACCCAGCCTGTGTGCAATGAATTCATCATGGAGCACGGAGGAGTTGGCGTCTATCTGGACCCAGTCGATGGCTGCAGAGGGGAAAAAAAGTCACAAGCTGAGAAATATTTCTGTGGGGAAAAGCCGAGCAGTTCACCAGGGCGCAGGAAACGTTACAGAGACTACAGCAAAGCTGAGACGGCATCTGGTAATACATAGCACTGGCTAAACACGGGTAAGGTGAGCTGAAGGCAGCTTGGAGGGGAAAACGGAGGGGAAGCGATGAGAGCAGTGGGGACGGCAGCCCAAGGACCGCGACCGCAGGCGAGCGCAAGGCGGTACCTATGATGGGCACTTCTGCGATGAACACTCTTCGAATGGAATTTGCCACCCTGAGGGAGAGAAACACCCGTGTTCAGGCGTGAGGGAGCGTGGAGCTCCGCGACGCACCGGCCTGCCCGCGGGGACGCCGGCCGCCGGCCGAGGCCCGGGCTTTGCCTCGGAGGCCCTGACCGGGCCAGCGCCAGGGGTGCGCGCCCG